AGGGAAAGACCTTATATCAAGGAGAATTATCTCACTTACTAAATTGATTTTTTGAACATGAATCCATGTTTTCTATGAATTCACATTTCCAGGACCCAATATGATCTACAAAGATTTGTAGCTCAAGAGCAAAGGCTATAGAGACAGCAAAATCCTATGACACCAATGATTCCTAACTGCATTTGCCATATACTGTTTCATTATTCTTGTAAATCAGCACCAAATAAACCAATAAATCAGTAAATCAATAGGTACATGCAAGATCTTTCCCACCTCATGTATATGTGATACATGCTAAATGCTATTTTAAAATAAAGTAGCCTCCATTAAAGTTATTTAAATCTTAAAATGAAAACCACCATTTAAATTTCAAGAATTCTTGCTGAAATTTCAATGTCGGTATAAACACAAAAATATTAGCAATTACCATCACGTAATTCTCATCCAAACTATAGAATTTACTTTTAACTCTTAAATCGAAGCAGTTTATAGCATATTCTACTAGACACGATGAAACTAAAAAGTACTGGATTTACTAGAAAATTTTGAGGTTATCTAGTTTATTCTTATAATGCAATGCTGGAATCTTAAGAGAATTCCTGACAGGCCTAAATCAAGAGGGCACTTAGTAGCCTAAGCCCATCCCTTGCTAAGCTCCTAGGCATTTAGTTTGCTTTTCTTACCCTTTTAAATCTATCACCTACACTATTTGGGGGCTTCCTTTTATTTCTCCAAGCTGCCTGAAGCTGAATGCATTTTATTCAATTGTCATCTTGCTTATTGTCTCAAAAAATAACACATGAGATATTTAACTTTTTAAGGATTCTACTGTTAATCTCTGTAAGAAAAACAAAAGAGGGAGTAATGGATAACTAACAATACAATCAGAAATTTTCTAAAGTCTTACACATTTCTTTACAATCTTTGCCCTTTCATTCCTGACGATAAACTTAATAAAATCTTGTACCTTGTTATGTTTCTCTCTCATTGCTCCCCTCACCCCCAAACCCACAAAATTTACAGTTCCTCCAAAAGGAAGCATAAATCGATAAAAGACAAATCGATAAATATTAGTGTTATAGATTTCTGCCATTTCCTGATCTTACGTTTGTAATTAAACAAATCCATGTGATAATATAATCTCATCTAAAATCCAAGATGACTGGTGCAGACAGCTGACCAGCTGTTATTTCATGTCATGTCAAAATACAGATTAAGTGACTTCATAAAACATATCAGGT